TAATGCTGTCGTGCCCTAACCTAACAATAACTTAACTTAATGCTAACCTAACTTGAATGTACCTAAACCACCCATAGATAACATTAGACTTGATTATGGTGTTTAATTAATCAAGTGAAATATTGGCACCACATAGTCATCCATTTCTCGGTCTTATTTTCCTTTTGGTATTTTCTTTTTTTTTCCTGTTTCTCTCTTCATTCATTTTCTATTTTGTTATTGTTTTCTAAAATATTTTGCACCCAATTACAGTATCTGGAGAACATCTGGCAGCCGGATGCTTTCTTCAAGAACGCCATCCGTTCGTCTATACATAAAGACTGGGTGGATAATGAATACCTCGCTTACTACACGAACGACGGACACATTAGACTGTTCAGCAGGTATCTTGGCCCACTACCCCTTATTCCTTCACTTTTTTTTAAATAGTATAAGAATTATAATTATAGGATCTAATATTGAAAATTATTAATAAAACCGTATTAGTTATTTTGAGATTATTAATGTTATTATTATTGATTACTTAATAAGGGTCCGGTGGGCAAGTGGATACATACAAAAAAGTACATTAATAGTGAAGTAGAATTTAAATGTCGAAAAGTTTGGGAGAAAATCCATGAAAAAGTTTCTTTGATTATGAATATAGATAAGAAATTTATAATTATACAAGAATTCATAAATATTGTTCTTTATTTAATAGTACTTTTAGGTGTAGGAGACAGTTATATATTTTTTTAATTGATATTTACAGTAGATGGAAATAATTAAGATATAATTAATAGAGATTATTTATGAATACGACCACTTCATACCTAAGATAAATTAGTTAAACATATTCTAATGGTTCACACACACACACACACACACACACACACACACACACACACACATGGTAAAGCACAGACCACCTTGTATGTGCACATTTTTAGTTGTAGACAGATGGTGTGCACATACTGTACTGCTCACACTAATCACTGTGCACTTATTGGTTCACTTGTTTTGGATGAGTCATGACCATAAGAAAAAAACTCTCTCTCTCTCTCTCTCTCTCTCTCTCTCTCTCTCTCTCTCTCCCTCTCTCTCTCTCTCTCTCTCTCTCTCTCTCTCTCTCTCCCCTTCCTTCCTTCCTTCCCCCCCTTCTTTCATTCCTTTCTCTCTCCTCTCTCACCCCTCTCACCCCCTCTCTCCCCTCCCTTCCGTCCTTCCTTCCTTTCTCTCTCTTTCTCTCTCTCTCTCTCTCTCTCTCTCTCTCTCTCTCTCTCTCTCTCTCTCTCTTACCCCTCTCACCCCTCTCCACCCTCCCCTCACCCCTCTCACCTCCCTCCTCCCTTCCTTCCCTTCCTTCCTTCCTGCCTTCATTCCCTTTCCTCCTCCTCTCTCTCTCTCTCTCTCTCTCTCTCTCTCTCTCTCTCTCTCTCACCCTCCTCCCCTCCCTCCCCTTCCTTCCTTCCTTCCTTCCTTCCTTCCTTCCTTCCTTCCTTCCTTCCTTCCTTCATTCTCTTCTCTCTCTCCCTCCTCCTTCCTTCTACCTTCCTTCCCTTCCCTTCCTTCCTTCTTCCTTCCTTCCTTCCTTCCTTTCTCTCTCTCTCTCTCTCCTCTCTCTCTTACCTTTATTCCTTCCTTCCTTCCTTCCTTTTCCTTCCTTCTTCCTTTACTCCCCTCTCTCTCTCAACCCTTCCTTCCTTCCTCTTCCTTCCTTCCTTCCTTCCCCTCTCTCCCTCCCTCCCTCTCACCAGGATGAGTATCACCCTCATGTGCCATCGCTTCCACCCATTATCCGCACGATGAGCAGTGAATGCTGTGATTCAGAGCTGTGAGTTTACCACCTAAGTCTGTACTTTCTGTGACTGTACTCTGTGGCTACCTGTGACTTTACTCTGTGGCTGTACTCTGTGGCTGTACTCTGTGACTGTACTCTGTGGCTGTACTCTGTGGCTGACTCTGTGACTGTACTCTGTGGCTATACTCTCAGCTGTACTCTGTGACTGTACTCTGGCTGCTCCTGACTGTACTCTTGCCTGTAGCTGTACTCTGTTACTGTACTCTGTGTGCCTGCTGTGGCTGCTCTGTGGTTGTACTCTCGTGATCCTGTTATGTGGCTGTATTCTGTGGCTGTCTTGCTGTCCTTAGAACTCTCTGTGACTGACTCTCTGGCTGTACTCTGCTGGCTGTACTCTCTGTGACTGACTCCGTGATACAGACTCTGTGGCTGTACTCTGCTGTTCGTGGCTGTACTCTGCGGCTGTACTCTGTGACTGACTCTGTGATACTGCGTCTCCTGAGACTGCACTCTGGCTGTGCTCTGTGGCTGTACTCTGTGACTGCTCTCTGTGACTAGTACTCTGTGTGCACTCTGTGGCTGTACTCTGTGGCACCTGTACTCTGTGGCTGTACTCTGTAGTTGTACTCTGTGATACTGTACTCTGTACCTCTGTGGCTGTATTCTCTTGACTGTACTCTGCGGCCTTTCTCCTACTCTGTGATACTGTACTCTGACTGGACTCTGTGCTGACTCTGTGGCTGTACTCTGTGACTGCTCTCCTGTGAGCTGTACTCTGTGGCTGCCTGCGGCTGTACTCTAGCAGTTTGGCCACTCTGTGATACTGTACTAACTGCTGTATTTACCTTGGCTGTACTCTGTTAGCACTCTGTAGCTGTACTCTGTGGCTGTACTCTGTGTTGCCTTTATGTGCTGATTCTGTGACTATACTCTGCATACTCTGCAGCTGTACTCTGATACTGTACTATGTGGCTGTATTCTGTGGCTGCTCTTGCTCTGCGGCTGTACTCTGCGACTGTACTCTGTGCTGTACTCTGTGGCTGTACTCTGTACTGTACTCTTACCGACTGTACTCTGTGACTATACTCTGTGTGTCTGTTGGCCTCTGTGGCTGTCTGTGTCTCTGTGATACTGTACTATGGCTGTACTCTATGACTGTACTCTGTGGCTGTACTCTATGACTGTACTCTATGACTGTACTCTGTGGCTGTACTCTGTGGCTGTACTCTGTGACTGTACTCTATGACTGTACTCTATGACTGTACTCTGTGGCTGTACTCTATGACTGTACTCTATGACTGTACTCTGTGGCTGTACTCTGTGACTGTACTCTATGACTGTACTCTATGACTGTACTCTGTGGCTGTACTCTGTGACTGTACTCTATGACTGTACTCTATGACTGTACTCTGTGACTATACTCTATGACTGTACTCTGTGACTGTACTCTGTGGCTGTACTCTGTGACTATATGCTCACTATTTTGTACTCCTGTAGAGGCTCATGCTCTGAGCTGCCTCTGTGGCTGTGCTCTGTGACTGTACTCTGTGGCTGTACTCTGGTATATACCAGTAGTAATATGTGGCTGTACTCTGTGACTGTACTCTGGCGACACTCCATTTACTCTATGACTGTGTACTCTAGCCCAGTGACTGTACTCTGTGACTATACTCTATGACTATACTCTATGACTGTACTCTGTGGCTGTACTCTGTGACTGTACTCTATGACTGTACTCTGTGGCTGTACTCTGTGACTGTATTCTATAACTGTACTCTGTGACTGTACTCTATGACTGTACTCTGTGGCTGTACTCTGTGGCTGTACTCTGTGGCTGTACTCTGTGACTGTACTCTGTGACTGTACTCTGTGACTTAACTCTGTGACTATACTCTATGACTGTACTCTGTGACTGTACTCTGTGACTTAACTCTGTGACTATACTCTATGACTGTACTCTGTGGCTGTACTCTGTGACTGTACTCTATGACTGTACTCTGTGGCTGTACTCTGTGATACTGTATTTGCATGGTGGAAGATGGATTCACACATTGCACTAATTAGAATCACACTTTCCTTTGGTTTTTATGCTGTGTAATATTTGTGAAAGGAATGCTCATATTTTTTTTTTTATTTCAATATATGTGATGAGGAAATTTATGCTTTATAGAAATGTAGTCACAGTGAAAAACCTCCATATAAAGGACTTCTCTTTCCATATAATCCGTTAGAGGGTTTTTTTTCATCTAATGGACCCTCGATATAATGGACTTTCACCCTTATATCTAAAAAAAAATACAAGTGTCCATAACCTAACCTAACCTAACCAAAGCTAACCTAACCTAACCTCCCGGAAGTATTATACTGTAAATGCTTGTGTCATTTCTATATTCTCAGACTGTGGCTTTCTGTGGAGGGAAGTCTTGGCTGGTTTGAACATACTGTAGACATTGTGCTTGGTGTTATGCCTACAGTCTAATATAGATGCTGTAGAACTCCTTACCGTAGAGCTTCTGTAGTGTAGTATTAACCCATTCCACCGTCAGGAGGTTCACAACCCCTCCTAATAATCATCAGGAGATAAAAATGCATGAAGTTAGTTATTTATATCAACAGATTCTCCGCCACCTTCATCTGCAAGTTTAGTTTCGTCTATTTTCCTCATGACATCCAGACCTGCAGCATGAGGATCGAGTCGTGTGAGTGACCTTAGAATTAACACGTGGTTTTTTTTTTTTTTTTTTAGATATTTTTGATATGTCTCTTTGGTGAGTTATGAAGTATCTTTTTAATTGGTTGGTTTGTCACTCACTTAACGTAACCAAATATGTAGTTTTTTTTTTTTTATTGTTCATTGAAGGTTAAAGTTGGTTAGAATTATTAGGTATATAATTAATTAATGTGTAAAACCTAAAAGTAATTATGGAATTTGTTTTCATTGTTTATTGTTAGGAATTTCTTTGTGTTTCTTAAAGGGTTATATCAGAGTACACACACACACACACACACACACACACACACACACACACACACACACACACACACACACACACACACACATTTAAACCCCTGATATAATCAATTATAAATTGTATATTATTATTATTATTATTATTATTATTATTATAAATATTAATTGCGTCACTCTTCTTTCTTCCTACACCCACCTTCCCTCCCCATCCCTCTCACTGCCCCGTCCCTGACTCTCCCCTCCCTATCCTACCCACCCCACACCTCCCCTCACTCCCCAGTATCGTACGACAGTGACCTAGTTCAGTTCGAGTGGTGTGAGAGTTGGGCCCACGCGAGTAGTAAGCTAGACCATGACATCTTCTCTCTTCCACACTTCACTCTGGCCAAGTACGAGCATGTGGCCTGTAACGGTGAGTAACCCCCCTCCCTCTCCCACCCCCACACACTACACAAGTTTTTTCGCCATTTCTCTTCTCATTCTTCTTCCTTTCCCCCTTTTCCTCTCATTCTCGTTTTTTTTTCTCTTTTGGGGGTCTTCTTCTATTTTGGGGTATCTAATTCTGTTTTTTGGGTCTATAATTCTGTTTTGGGGTCACTAATTTTGTTTTGGGGCTTCTAATTCTGTTTTTGGGTCTAATTCTGATTTTGGGGTCTAACTCTGATTTTGGGGTCTAATTCTGTTTTTTGGGTCTATAATTCTATTTTGGGGTATGTAATTCTGTTTTTGGGGTCTCTAATTCTGTTGTTGGGGTCTAATTCTGATTTTGGGGTCTAACTCTGATTTTGGGGCTTCTAATTCTGTTTTTGGGGTCTCTAATTCTATTTTTGGGGCCTAATTCTGTTTTTGGGGTCACTAATTCTGTTTTTGGGCTTCTAATTCTGTTTTTGGGGTCTCTAATTCTATTTTTGGGGCCTAATTCTGTTTTTGGGGTCACTAATTCTGTTTTTGGGCTTCTAATTCTGTTTTTGGGCTTCTAATTCTGTTTTTGGGCTTCTAATTCTGTTTTGGGGTCTCTAATTCTGTTTTTGGGGTAACAAGGTCTCCACTGGGGTCTCTAGTTCAAAGTTTTCTAGGTCTCTGCTAGTCCTGAGGACCTACTTCCATAATCTGAATCAAATGTTAACATGACGAATAGATAAATAATACATAAATAAATAAATAAATCCATCTATATCTATCTTATCTCTCTCTCTCTCTTCCTCTCTTTTTTCTCTCTTTCTCTCTCTCTCTCTCTCTCTCTCCACTCACCTACCATTCCTAGCTTCAGGAGAATACCCGTGTGTGAAAGCCGTGTTTGTGCTGGTCCGTCACCCAGATTTTCACATCCTTCACACCTACGTGCCTACCGTCCTCATCGTTATCCTCTCCTGGATGTCCTTCTGGATAGCCCCGGATGCCACGCCAGGTACAGCCACAGGTAGACGAGCATTTGGAAGCTAGTTTGTACCCTACTAGCTGTGTGACTTTAGATCTAGAATGCTTTTACTATAGCCAACACCTTGATTGTGGAAGCTAGTTTGTACTCTACTAGCTGTGACTTTCGATTTAGAATGTTTTTACTAGCCAATGCCTTGAATCTGGATGCTAGTTTGTAACGTACTAGCTGTGTGACTTTAGATCTAGAATGCTTTTACTAGTCAACACCTTACTTTTACTTTACTTTTATCCTCTTCACCACTGATCGGCTCGTTAGCCACTTGGGCGATCGGTCGCTTCTCTGTTACACACTGTTGGCAAGTACTGGGCCTGCACCGGCTCCTGAATGTACCTGAACCCGCTCCAGTGTTGGTCAAGTCTGGTCTTGAAAGAGCTCACACTCGGTGCCGTCACAATACTCTCTAGCAAATTGTTCCAAGAGTTCACAACTCTCACTCCAAAAAAGTTTGCCCTCACAGTGTTTTGGACTTGCTGCTTCTTCAACCTCGAGCTGTGACCCCTTGTGGGGCGAGCGTCCACCAGCTCCAGGTAAGGACACTCGACTGAGTAGTGCCCTCTGAGATGCTTATACACCTCAATTAGGTCGCCCCTTGCCCGTCTGTATTATAACCTAGGCAGTTACAGGCGCTCTAATCTCTCAGGGTAGCTGAGGTGTCGAAGTGCAGGCACCAGTCTTGTGGCCCTCCTTTAGACATTTTCAACCAACTGACAGTCCCGAGTATATCTCGGGGACCAGACGGGGTGACAGTACTTCAGGCGGGGAAGCTCTTTCTTATAAGACCCAATATTTAAGTTGCTTGGTTCGCCTTCTTCTCACAAGGGCCCGAGAAGTTCAGTTCATTGTCAACATGCACACCCAGGTCCTTTTCGCATCCAGTCTCAATTAATGCAGTTTCTTCGTCCCGTTGCGACATATGATACGCCTCCCTACCATTGGTACGCCCCAGGTGCATCCTCTTACACTTCGTGACATTGAATCTCAGCAGCCATTTCTTCGACCATTCTTGAAGTTCACAGAGATACTTCTCCAGCAAGCACAGTCTGCATGGTTCTTAATTTCTTGAAATAACTTGGCATCATCCTCAAACATTTGTATGGAGGAGTGTACAGCGTCAGGCATGTCATTTATGAAGCAAACAAACAACAGTGGGTCCAATACACTGCCCTGTGGTTTCCCGCTTGTTACGGGTACACATGACGATATCGTACCATTAATCACCACACACTGCTTGCTATCATGCAGAAAGTCTCCGATCCATGCTAGGACATTTCCCCGAATTCTGTACCCTTCCTGTTAAATTGTCAGCCTTTCATGGGGTACACTGTCGAAAGCCTTGGCAAAATCTAAGTATATATTGTCGATATTGCCGCCCTGTTCAAGAATTTGCGTCCAAACATCCAGTACCTTGAGCAATTGTGTTAAACAGGAGCGTCCCGGCATAAAACCATGTTGACAATCGTTTACAAGGTTATTTCATAGTACATGTTCCATCACGGCATCTCTTATAATGCTCTCAAGTACTTTACACTGTGCTGGTCAAGCTCACTGGTCTATAATTATTCGTGGAGTGATGACCGCCCGTCTTGAAAATAGGACTCACATAAGCCACTTTCCAATCACTGGGGACCTTTTGCTCATCCAGGCATTTACATAACAGGATCTTCAGCAGCTCATCAAGCTCGTTGCACAACTCTCTCAGCACTCTAGGATGCACCATGTCAGGGCCGGGACTCTTATGGACCTTTAGCCTGGACAGTTTATTTCTTATAACCTCTTCTGTGAACACAATGTGGTCAACACTGCGTCGAACCGTCTATCCTCAAACGCAGAAAGATTGTTCACATCCTCTCGTGAACACCGAGGAAAAGAAACTGTTCACCGCCTCCGTTTTGTCTTGGTCAGAATCTGCATAACTACCATCTTCAAGCCTCAGGTCAGATACTCCTACTCACGTTTAATTTTTGACTTTGGGTAGCGGTAAAACGCTTTTGGGTTTTACTTGACCTCACGTGCAATCCGCCTTTGGAACTCCTTCTCAGCCCTTCTACACTCTGACTGTGCTTGGTTCCTGGATCTGGTATACTGTACATCCTCTTGTCCTGCTCATCGTTTATCCTAACCCACGTCTTGAATTTCTGGGTTTTCTTCTTAATTTTATCGACCGCCGCATGGTTCATGTGTAGTGGTCTCCTTGTATTCTTGAAGGCACTGGGTTTGGTCTTGAGTATATATTTATCGATCAAATGGTCCACTTTACTAGCTGTAATGTTCAGCATAGCGACTTGTGGCGCACTGGTCAGCATCCTCGCCTCGCAAGCTAGCGGACCTGAGTTCGATCCCCGGGCAAGGTGAAACTATGGGCAAGTTTCTTTGAACCATTTGCCTCTGTCTACCCAGCAGTACTTGGGAACCTGAATGTTAATCGATTTGCGGATCGTATTTCGGTGTAATGGTTAGCCAGTGCAGTTGGCGAGCTGTCCAGTCTTCTCGGACTATTCCGTGACACTGGGTCAAGCAGCTCGTTAACTTAGGGTGTGGTTGTTGTGTTGGCAAGAGCTTCTACACCTTAGCAAATTCACGCCTAGGAGGCCCTTGGGCCGGCCATCCTCGATTTCGAGGGGCTTCCATTATTATTAGTGTCTGCGTTCTTATACCTTAGTGAGTCAGGCGAGTGGATACCCCTCATCTCTTCCCTCATCCCGTCGTGATTACCCTTGTGATATTTGACCCTGGACCTGGTTTTGTCGTGAACCAAGTAAAGTTAAATCTGAAGAACAACGTTACCTGGTGGCAAGTACCATTTGGGGCTAGTTTGTACTCTACTAGCTGTGACTTTAGATCCAGAATGATTTACTAGCCAACACCTTCAGTCTGGAAGGTAGTTTGTACTCTACTAGCTGTGACTTTAGATCCAGAATGATTTACTAGCCAACACCTTGAGTCTGGAAGCTAGTTTGTACTCTACTAGCTGTGACTTGTAGATCTAGAATGCTTTTACTAGCCAACATCTTGGATCTAGGTTCTAGTTTGCACCCTACTAGCTCTGACTTTAGATCTAGAATGTTTTTACTAGCCAACACATTGAGTCTGGAAGCTAGTTTGTACCTTAGTAATTGTGACTTTAATTATAGAAGCTTAATAGCCAGCACTCAAGATGCATTAACTACCCAACACTGAGAAGACTGGAAGATAATTTGGCCCTACCAGTAATAGCCTTAGTTATGGACCAATGATTCCCAGACTATTGAACATGACGCTCCCTTTATTTCTGCTAAGTCCTCACGCCTTCCCTGTACCCACCTCTCGGCCCCCAGTTTGGGAAATATATAGACGCTTAATATCCAATACCCTGGAAGCATTTACTCGCCTTGATCATGGACTTAGAAGCTAGTTTGTTCCTACTAGATGTCGCTTTAGTTTTAGACACTTAATAGCCAACATACTAGAAGTATTACCTAACTAACACCATGAATCTGAAAGCTAGTTTGTCTCAACTAGAATCATATTTTCTTGTACAGGCACCATGGAACTAGCAGCCTACTAGCCATACCCATGGATCTAGAAACTCTCTTATCATATTAGATAGTTCCTATTAACTAGTAAGACCTCTAGTTATAGATTAGGTTTTAAGCTGGGTTTAGGTTAGGTTAGGTTAAGCTAGATTAGGGATAGAAAGGGATAGGTTAACTTAAGCTGGGTTTAGGTTAGGTTAGGTTAAGCTAGATTAGGGATAGAAAGGGATAGGTTATCTTTGTTTGGAGTAGAAGAGAATAGATTACAGTAAGTTAGGTTAGGTGGGGAGAGTCAGTGAATCAATGTAGGTACTGTAGATAATGTAGGTACTGTAGATAATGTAGGTACTGTAGATAATGTAGGTACTGTAGATAATGTAGGTACTGTAGGTACTGTAGATAATGTAGGTACTGTAGATAATGTAGGTACTGTAGATAATGTAGGTACTGTAGGTACTGTAGATAATGTAGGTACTGTAGATAATGTAGGTGCTGTAGATAATGTAGGTACTGTAGATACTGTAGGTACTGTAGATAATGTAGGTACTGTAGATAATGTAGGCACTGTAGATACTGTAGGTACTGTAGGTACTGTAGATACTGTAGGTATTGTAGATAATGTAGGTACTGTAGGTACTGTAGATACTGTAGGCAATTGTAGATAATGCAGGCAATTGCAGGCAATTGCAGGTGAATTGCAGGCACTGTAGATAATGAGTGGTACTGTAGATAATGCAGGTACTGCAGGCAATTGCAGATAAATGTAGGTACTGTAGATAATGCAGGTACTGCAGATAATGTGCAGGTACCGTAGATAATGGTGGGTACTGTGGAGGTACTGTAGATAATGTAGGCACTGCAGATACGCAGGCACTGTAGGCACTGGGTGTATAATGTAGGCACTGCAGGTACTGGCACTGGGTAAGAATGCAGGGGTACCGTAGATAATGCAGGTACTGTAGATAATGCAGGTACTGTAGGCAATTGCAGGCAATTGCAGGTACTGTAGATAATGTAGGTAATTGTAGGTACTGTAGATAATGTAGGCACTGTAAGGTACTGTGGATAATGCAGGTACTGTAGATACGTAGGAATTGCAGGCACTGTAGATAATGTAGGCACGTAGATATGTAGGCACTGTAGATAATGTAGGGAATTGCAGGCAATTGTAGATAATGTAGGTACTGTAGATAAATGTAGCACGCAGATAATGTAGGTACTGTAGATAATGTAGTACTGTAGAGATACTGTAGGTACTGTAGATAATGCAGGCACTGTAGATAATGAATTCAGTAATGCAAATGCAGATAATGTAGATACTGTAGGTACTGTAGATAATGTAGGTGAATTGCAGGCACTGTAGATACTGTAGATAATGTGGTGTCTGCAGATAACGTAGGCACTGTAGATAATGTAGGCAACGTAGACACTGTAGGTACTGCAGATACTGTAGTACTGTAGATAATGTAGGCAATTGTAGAAATGTGATACCGTAGGTACTAGATAATGTAGGTACTGGGATAATGTAGGTACTGTAGATAATGGTGGGGCATTGCAGGTACTGCAGATACTGTAGGGTACTCGTAGATAATGCAGGCACCATAGGCAATTGCAGGATAAAGCTAGGGTACTGCAGATAATGCAGGCACTGTAGATAATGTAGGCACTGTAGATACCATAGGTACCTAGTAGATAATGCAGGCACTGCAGATACTGCAGGCACTGTAGATAATGCAGGCACTATAGGCACTGTAGATAATGTAGGCACTGCAGATTAGCAGGCATTGTAGATAAGGTAAGAATTGCAGGTACCGTAGATACTGCAGGGCACAATAGGCACCGATAATGCAGGTACTGCAGGCACCGTAGTAGATAATGTAGGTACTCGTAGGTACTGTAGATACTGCAGGTACTGCAGATAATGTAGGCACTGCAGATAATTGCAGGCACTGTAGATAATGCAGGCACTATAGGTACTGTAGATAATGTAGGTACCGTAGATACTGTAGGTATTGTAGATAATGTAGGTGCACTGTAGGTACCGTAGATAATGAGGTACCTGTAGATAATGTAGGTACTGTAGATACTGTAGGTAACTGCAGATACTGCAGGCAATTGTAGATAATGTAGGTACCGTATACTGCAGGTACTGTAGATACAGGTACTGTAGATAAGAAGGTAAGTACTGTAGATACCGTAGATAATGGTGTACTGCAGGCAAGTGTACCTGTAGATACTGCAGGTACGTGGAAAATGCAGGCACTGTAGATAATGCAGGCAATTGCAGATAATGCAGGTACTGCAGATAATGTAGGCACTGTAGATACTGTAGGCATTGCAGATAATGCAGTACTGTAGATACGTAGGTAATTGTAGGCACTGTAGATAATGTAGTACTGTAGATAATGTAGGTACTGTAGATAATGTAGGTACTGTAGATAATGTAGGTACTGTAGATAATGTAGGCACTGTAGATAATACTGTAGGTACTGTAGGGTACTAGATAATGCAGGTACTGTAGATAATGTAGGTACTGTGATAATGTAGGTACTGTAGATAATGCAGGTACTGTAGATACGTAGGCACGTAGATACTGTAGGTACCGTAGATAATGTAGGCACTGTAGATACTGTAGGCGAATTGCAGGCTACTGTAGATAATGTAGGCACTGCAGATAATGTAGGTACTGTAGATAATGTAGGTACTGTAGATTAATTGCAGGTACTGTAGATAATGTAGGCAATTGCAGGATACGTAGGCAACTGCAGATACTGTAGGTACTGTAGGCACTGTAGATAATGTAGTACTGTAGATAATGTAGGTACTGTAGATAATGCAGGCATTGCAGATACTGCAGGCAACTGCAGATAATGTAGGCACTGTAGATACTGTAGTTCGCAGATACTGTGATAATGTAGGCACTGTAGATAATGTAGGTGCATTGTAGGTACTGCAGATACTGCAGGCAATTGCGTAGATACTGTAGATAATGCAGGCACTGTAGATAACTGCAGATAATGTAGGCACCAGATAATGTAGCACTGCAGGTACCGTAGATAATGTAGGCAATTGCAGATGACTGCAGGTACGTGTGTGATTACCGTAGATAATGTAGGCAACTGCAGATAATGCAGGTACTGCAGGCACTGCAGATAATGCAGGCACCGTAGATAATGCAGGCACTGTAGATACTGCAGGCACCGTAGATAATGCAGGTACTGCAGGCACTGCAGGCAATTGCAGGCGCCAGATAATGCAGGTACCGAGATAATGCAGGCACCGTAGATAATGGTACAGGTACTGTAGACAATGTGGTGGCACCGTAGATAATGGTACTGTAGATAATGCAGGTACTGTAGACAATGTAGGCACGCAGATACTGTAGGCACTGCAGATACTGTAGGCAATTGCAGATAATGCAGGCAATGGTGAAAAGGTAGATAATGGGTACTCTGTAGATAATGCAGGTACTGCAGATACTGGAGGCACTGTAGGAATGTAGGTACTGTAGATACTGTAGGTACTGTAGATAATGTAGGTACTGTAGGTAATGTAGGTACTGTAGGTACTGTAGGTACTGTAGATAATGTAGGTACTGTAGATAATGTAGGTACTGTAGATAATGTAGGTACTGTAGGTACTGTAGATACTGTAGGTACTGTAGATAATGTAGGTACTGTAGGTAATGTAGGTACTGTAGGTACTGTAGATAATGTAGGTACTGTAGGTACTGTAGATAATGTAGGTACTGTAGATAATGTAGGTACTGTAGATAATGTAGGTACTGTAGGTACTGTAGATAATGTAGGTACTGTAGATAATGTAGGTACTGTAGATAATGTAGGTACTGTAGATGATGTAGGTACTGTACGTACTGTAGATAATGTAGGTACTGTAGATAATGTAGGTACTGTAGGTACTGTAGGTACTGTAGGTACTGTAGATAATGTAGGTACTGTAGATAATGTAGGTACTGTAGATAATGTAGGTACTGTAGGTACTGTAGATAATGTAGGTACTGTAGATAATGTAGGTACTGTAGATAATGTAGGTACTGTAGGTACTGTAGGTACTGTAGATAATGTAGGTACTGTAGATAAATATAGATGATTACTTTATTCTACTTTTCCAGCTCGCGTGACGCTAGGAGTGACCTCCATCTTAACTATGGCTACCCAGTACTCCCAGTCCACCAAAAACTTGCCCCCAGGTAAGTCGGTGATGAGGAGAGGTAGGGTAGGGAGAAGGAGTAAGGGAGGGAGAGAGAGTGTGAGGGAGTGAGAGAGTGTGAGGGTGAGAGAGTGTGAGGGTGAGAGAGTGTGAGGGAGGGTGAGACGGTGTGAGGGAGGGTGAGACGGTGTGAGGGGGAGGAATGGAGGAGTGAGAGAGGGGGGGGAGAGTGTGAGAGGGGTGAGAGGTGTGAGGGAGGGAGACGTGAGAGGAGAGACAGTGTGAGGGAGAGAGGGGTGTGAGGGAGGGGTGAGACGGTGAGGGGAGAGAGAGGAGGGAGAGAGAGTGGGGAGGGGTGAGAGAGTGTGGAGGAGGGTGAATGGTGGGAGGGAGGGTGAGATGGTGTGAGGGGAGAGAGAGACAGTGTGAGGGAGGAGAGTGTGGGAGGGTGAGAGAGTGGGGGAGGAGGGTGAGACGGTGTGGTGGGGAGGGGGAGACAGGTGAGGGAGAGAGACAGTGTGGAGGGGTGAGAGGGGGTGGGGGAGGGTGAGACGGTGTGAGGGAGAGGAGGTAGTGTGAGGGAGAGAGAGACAGTGTGAGGGAGGGTGAGACAGTGTGAGGGAGAGAGAGACAGTGTGAGGGAGGGTGAGACAGTGTGAGGGAGAGAGAGACAGTGTGAGGGCGAGAGATAGTGTGAGGGTGAGAGAGTGTGAGGGAGGGTGAGACGGTGTGAGGGAGAGAGAGACAGTGTGAGGGAGGGTGAGACGGTGTGAGGGAGAGAGAGACAGTGTGAGGGAGTGAGAGACATTGTGAGGGAGAGAGAGCCAGTGTGAGGGAGAGAGAGAGAGAGAGAGAGAGAGAGACAGTGTGAGAGTTAACACATTCTTAAACTAAATTCATAAGTCAGTAATTCATCTACATAATTTCAACAACATCTGCATTTTTTTCTCCAAAATTTATTCTTTAAATTATTTGTATAGAAATTTGAAGATAAAAATACTACATAAAATGGCAGGATTCATGTAATAAACTGTGTGTGTGTATGACCCTGTAGTGTCATACATCAAGTCCCTGGATATATGGATGATCACGTGTATGGTGTATGTGTTCGCCGCCCTGCTTGAGTTCGCCATCGTCTACCACGTCCACTACCGCCGCACCATCAGTACGGTTCGTGGCCTCATCACCCCGACATCCACTACCAACGGCTCCTCCCAGGTCACACAGGTTAGTTACAATAGGTCAAAGTTCTGTGGGTCAACGAGGCATTGTTTGTAAATTGTCATAAATAAGCAAACTTTTTTTTGTGTTAGTTGCTCTTCCTGCTACAGAGTCTTGCACTATACTGTACATATCTAGACACTGTTGTAATGTAGCCAGAGTTGGTCTCTCTTGTAAGAAACATTCTTTACTTCACCCCACCTAGTTAATGGGTCACTATCTGTTAATTTGTCCTTCAGAAAAATACTTTCCAGTAAGGGTCTAGGGGCCTTTATCGCTCTCCATTTACATATATATATCAATCTATCCACTATCTATGTATCTATCTGCCTGTATTAGTCCATCACAGTATTATGCAGGGTACAGAGTTCCTCTCCTTCCCTGAAGCTAAGACTCACGAACAACTAAGACTCACGAACAACTAAGACCACATTTCGGTAAATCTCTTCCTAAAGAATCTATTTCTTAGGAACAGTTGTGACCAGTCTGGTTGTCCCCCACAGGGCCTGGGACTAGCGGTGCCCCGGCTACAGCGGTGGCAGGAGGCATGGCTGGAGTTCTGGCGGGGGGACACAGCCATCGACGAGGCGTCAAGGGTCCTCTTCCCTCTCACTTACTTCTCCTTCGTCATCGGTTACTTTGTGCTCCTGACGGGATCTCAGGAGAAAGGTTTCCTCTCCCGAGGAAATTCAACTTAGTGACCATCAGGTCACAGTGGCAGGGACCATTGTTGTACCACTTTGCACAGTCACCCTCAGGTCACAGCCCACAGCGGCAGGGACTACTGTACTCTCATAACACAATCACCCACAGGTCACTACACAGTCACCCACAGGTGTGAGGTCACAGTGGCAGGGAAGACTCCTGACTCACAAACATTATAAGGGGGTAAAACACATCCCTTTATATTTATGCTAAAATACTAAATAAAATAAAAGGATAATGAAATAGAAAATATTCACTATATAATGTGTACAATCTACAGTAAATGTTCGTCACAATACAGTAATAAAGTGACAGATTTATAATGTATGTACTGAACGAACCTTAAGTAACAAATAATGTTTATAGTACTGTACCTGTAAGTGTATCTGGTGATGAGCTGCCACCACCACGTCCCCTGTTGTGTTGTTGTATAAACTCAGGTATCGACGGCTGTACCATCTGGACCTGAATGTTCTTTACATTTCCACTTGTAGAGGAACAAACACTGACAAATATGGCTGTTAATTTACTGATACGACAGAATAACTCACTTAAGAACCACCAACCAGCCAGCTCACTTGGAAAAAATTGTAATGCATATAATAGGTTAGGTTAGGATGTGTTAGAATACCATGTGTTAGGTTTGGTTGGGTTAGGTTAGGTTAGGTTAGGTTGATAGGTCAGTTCCCTGCTATAACAGCCATATTCAGGGTGATTTGTGGAGTGATGCTCTGACCTCGGATAACTGTTTATTTGTCATTGAAGAAGGTTTGGTGTAAAAAAAAAAAAGATTCTGCTTAATGCAACATGGTTTGAAACAACACACACACACACACACACACACACACACACACACACACACACACACACCTACCTCTGCTTCCTAAGTGTTAAATTTCTTCCCTTTGTAGAACCATTTTTATATCTTTCTCTTCCTCATCAAACTCCATCTACTCCTTCAGTACTCACTCTTCTCTCCTATCTCCTTATTTCTGTATTTCTTATCCCCTCTATCTTATTTACCTCACATATTCCCCTCAAGCATGTCATAAAACAGTATATATATATAATGGATTGTAGAAGTGTGTAGTTAACCGTATATTAACTCTTGTTTGTGTATTATAATCAGTATCATCACATATTACATCACTAATATATATCTCTGGGTTGTTTGACTAAGAATCTTTAAATAAATATTAAAAAAACGTTTGATATCTGATAATTATTTAACCCTTTTGTAGAATATTGAAATATGATGAGTCTACAGTATAATACAGAACAAAACGTTACAGTACAGAACAAAACAGTACTATAATATACGTCATTCACGGCTGTGCGATAACGGCACCTCTACGTGTGTCACGGGATGGGACTCAAACACAGGACACAATGGTGAGGGATGCACACTTTACCACTGGTCATTGTACCATTTCTCACACGGATATGCAGTATACGACTCGTTTAAATATATTTCATGTTATTAGAAATATTTATCATAATATAAAAACTATTAACTCAGTTTATTAACATTAACAACAGGTCCACTGGCTGTGCAGTGTACAGTATGTCATTGTGTCTTGTCAGACCCAAATGTTTGTACACAAGCTCATGTGACAGAGAAGCTGATCATTTTAAAAGGACAATTATCATGCTATTTGTGATAGGGGTTAATATTTAGTAGTTGCCACCACCTAACTGAATATTGAGTCATATATGGGGAGATAGAACAAAAAGAATAGAAATCTAATTTATTCTATAACGTTTCCGTCGCAAATTTATAGTTTTTGTGTTATATTAACTTTTATTTTATAATATTTGACCAATCAGTGTGTTTGTCATTCGTCGTGTGCGCCACAGGGCAGTGTATTGGGCCCACTGTTGTTTGTTTGCTTCATAAATGACATGCCTGAAGCTGTACACTCCTCCATACAAATGTTTGCGGATGACGCCAAGTTATTTCAAGAATTTAAGAACCATGCAGACTGTGAAGAGCTGCAGAAGGACCTCTGTGACCCTCATGAATGGTTAAAGAAATGGCTGCTGAGAGTCAACGTCTCGAAGTGTAAGAGGATGTCTTCCTTTTTATGTCTAATTACCTATGTACGTTTGTGTTTCTGTCTTTATGTGCCCTTCAGTATACAGTAACTACCATATCTATATCTAGCAGTTTATTTATCTATTACAGTACAATATATACCAGTATCTATCTATCAATACCTATTTCAGTTTGTTTTATCTGTATTTGTCAGTCTATTTATCAGTACAAGTATATGTCAGTCTTATCAATCTAAACATAGTACAGTATGTCTATCTATCCATATGGCTTATCTATATCTGTCAGTATATATTCATTTTTATACCATATATACGTCTTCCACTTCAGGTGTTCAGCTTGTTTCAGAATTGTCCTTGCATTTTTTTTTATGATAAAGATATCACACATAAGAAATGACCTTAATGGTGTTTCTTTAATTGAGGAATTTTCAGTTAAATTTCGACCGAGTTACACGATAAACCTCGTTCTTTCATCGTTTTGTCCCGCAAGGATGAACTTTCTGTCGTCTTGATCCTGTAAATGTATCGTAGGCACCACTCGCTTATGAACATGCTGCAGACTTTATTTGTGCAATCATATATACAGTACACTGTGTGATCTGAGAAACGGGTTTTATTGCATCCACTTTTTAAGAAACCTGGTCTTGATGCTGAAAAATGTGTCAAATTATTGTCCGGTCTCCATTCTCTCATTCTTATCAACGATCATAGAGCGTGCGATGCTGGATCAGTTACTGTCTCTGTTAAGAGAGAAATGGAGTGATCCCTCTGGTCCAGGCAGCCTATAGGAAGCATCATTCAACTGAAACTACCTTATGTAAAATTCATAACGATTTGGTAATAAACACATGCAAAGGAAAGTCCTCCATGCTGGTCTTGCTGGATATCTCTGCAGCTTTTGACACGGTGGATCATCGACTGTTGCTTCAGGATCTTTGGTCGTTTGGTGTCCGTGAGAATGCACTCTCACTGCTTGAGTCTTATTTGTCAAGGTGATCTCAATGTGTGATGGTTGGTAGAACCATTTCAGACCTGGTCCCCACGCAGTTTAGAGTCCTACTTCTGTTTAGTCTTTGCCAGTACTGTAGTTTAGTTGTGCATCTTTGCTGGATGCTCACGGTGCTGCTACCATTTATCTGCCGCTGATACACAGCTTTATGTGAAAATAACAAATGTTGAGGAAATTTAGAAGAAAATGAAATGCTTGATGTCTGATATTAAGATTTGGATGACTAGGAGAAAACCTGTGCAGAATCACGGCAAAACCGAGATTATCGTCATGCAGGGCAATAGCCACTAGGAGAGGAGACGGTACAGATGATTTTGGCTCTTTAGACTGTGGGGAAGTACAACTCAGTCCTGTCGATTCTGTTCGTAATCTTGGAGTGTACTTTGACTCAAAACTGAATTTTAAAGAGCATTTAAATTCAGTAGTTAAGAGTTACAACTTTATTATTCGAAATTTATATATTGTTAAACTGATTTTGGAGTTTAAACTCTGTCTCATGACTTTAAGACGCTAATGTTTGGTGAGCCAAAGTATTTGGTCAACCTACTAATACCACTGATTACACATTCTGAAATGATTTTTCGTAGTAGTGATGATCCTTCTGGCCTTGAGGAACCTGGAGCAGTGCGGGAATGTTCTTTTGCTGCCCGATCCTTTTCCTATACAACACCCAGATTATACAATAGGCTGCCTGCATCCATGAAGCAGCTGACCTCTGTGGAAGACCTTAAGCAACAACTTAAAACCTTTCTTTTTTTTTAAACTTATGATCCTCAACAGAATACTGTACGGTGATGGAGACTTACAGGGTTCAGGGAGTATTAAAACTTAAGGCTGTATGAATGATATAAGTTGAGCTGTCACTTTTTATGATCTTTTATTGTAGTAGAGTATTTCTTTTTATTCACAAGTCTTTGACCGTAGTGTTTCGTGCACTTGTGAATTCTTTAGAAGAACTGGCACTTTTGAGAAACAAAAGACCAGTTATTATTATATTTCTGTGTTTATATATCTGCCAATCTTTCTGTATCTACCTGCCTTAACTACTGTATTTCCCACCATATTAACTGTACCACTAATTTAGTAGGGACTATTAAGGAAAAAATTATTTGAGTTTACGAAGTATGCAAGGTTTACAACCCCTAGAAAGTTTACATAAACCAGACTTACATAAAACAAACAACTACTGTACTGGATGACTATTAATTCATGGACATATTTTAATCAGAAACAGTTGTGTATATTAAATGTTTTTTGTTTGTTTGTTACAGGTGAGTTAAAGACTAAACCTTGGGACACTAACAACTGGATCATGGAGACACTGCTGTTACAGGTGTGTCCTTCTGTCTGTCTGTGTGTCTGTGTGTATGCTACATCTGTCTCTATCTCAATTTATTTGTGTATGTCTAACTGTCTATCTTTATGTATTTATATCTATATAGCTTTCTATCAGTCTTTCAATACCTGTATGTCAGTTAATCTGTCTATTTGTTATCTATTATCTGTCAGACTATCCATTTATCTATACAAGTATCTGTCGTATCTATGGTATCTGTAAGAAAGGTGTTGGCAGCATCACCAGTAATGTGCAATGAGTGTGGCAGGTGGGAACACAAGGGGTGCAGTGGAGTGGATGGCAGACTGCAGGATGTTGCTGACTGCAAATGTTCTGTATGTGCAGGCAATGAGTTCTGCTGCCTGGGTGACATAATCAATGCTCCTTTGTAAGAGTCAAAAATGGCTGAAAGAACTTTAGAGAGTTATTGCCTTTATTGTCAGCAAGAGGACTATAATCGCCCCGAAAGGAGATTAACATACCACGTCATTTCAGTCAAACCTGTCAAATACAAATAATCAATTTACAAGAGGGAACTGTAGGTTCATTAACATATGAATACATTTACCTAATACTAGCACACAAATGAGTACATTATCTTATTAGTAACACAACATAAGCTGCATATCATCAGAAGTTGCTCAGTTAATATTCTTCACGTGCACGATGGATCTCTTGAGTCACGCTACCCCCTTTGCCACCGTTGCCATGATGAATATCTAGACCAGAGCCTTGCATGGATTTTTCTTCTTTATCGATGTTTGTGATCAATGAAGTCACGCTCTGTTTTACCTCCGGATCATCTACCAGTTCCTGAGCCAGCTTTGGTCTTACTGGACATTATTCTTCAGACTACCACATAAACTCAGGTCCCATTATCCACTTCTCCCTTTCGGGCATTTCTCCAGCTGATAGCCCTCAGATTGCATCGTCAGCTGGGTTTAAATCTGTGCCCAAATGACGCCACTGATTTGCATTTGACAACTCGTGTATGGCAGCGATACTATTTGCAACGAATGTATGGAAGCGCCGCTGGGTATTTGAAATATATTGGAGGGCGAGCACACTGTCGGTCCAAAACACTGACCATTCAAGCGTCATGCTCAGCGCTTTTCTTATCAACTTGTCGCCATTTGCGGCTAATACGGCTGCCCAGACTTCCGGCCGAGGGATGGTCTGCCGGTTCAGGGGTGTCAGTCTTGCTCTTCCTTACACAAAGGTGCGCTGGATGTTTCCGGATTCGTCTACCATCCACAAGTATGAAACCATGCCCAGGGCCCGATTCAGGAGTGGGCAAAGTGGGCAGCTGCCCAGGGGCCTCCACAATCTGGGGGCCTCCACATATTACAATATTTTATTTATTTGTTTATTCATTTGGATTATTTTTATTTTCATTCTTTAAAATTCAAGTTTATCTATTCCATCACGTAAAACTATGTTCAGCAAGAAGCGTGATAGAAATTAGGCTAGCTACTCCTTGAAATTCATGAATACCTGGTTTTCCTATGAACAGTATATTTTCAATTAATGCTATTGTTTGTGTTGCTAATAATATATTTAGAATTCCGGAACTCCCAGATGCTTAGGCTCGCTTCACTCGCCACCCCACCCTCTTGGGTAGTTATAATGAGGGGGGCCTCCACAAAGAGGCTGCCCATGGGCCTCCACAGGTCTAAATCCGGCACTGACCATGCCATAAACCATCTGCGAGGCATCGCAGAATTGATGCAGTTGTACCGAAAGAGCCTGTTCTGGAGAAT